GCAGCCTGGCAGGTGAGTGCTGGGTTCCTTAAAGAACCTAACAGGGCCCCAGGAAAAGGCCACACAATGGCCAGGCCAGGCCGTGCACAGGAGCGGGGTTTGCAAGGACGGAGGGCGAGGCCTTCGTGCCTGCCTCAGCTTCCCTCCCACGTGTGGGCCCCTGGATGCTGTGTCCCCCACAGGCATTTTCTTTCATCTCCAGTGGGTCCTCTCCCACCTGAACTGCTGCTTGCCCCATCTCAGAGCCCACCAACTCCATCTCTCCTCACCAGGCCAGGCCTTGCTTCTCTGCCCGGGTGTGGAAGAGACTAGTGAAGTCTCTTCCAGGGATGACCCGTACCCTTGCCTACCCTCGAACTCAAAATCCTCTGCAGGCTGGAACATGAAAAATCTTCACCATCCTCTCTCTCTGGGACGAGCCCCCCATTCCTGCCTGCTCCTCTGGCAAGGGCACCTCGGGAGAACCAGGATGTCAGATGGGACTGGACCAGCTGACACCAGGAGTGACTAGCTGACACTCCACTGCCCACCTTCCACTCCTGCCTCATTAAGTACCAGGGAACAAAGTAGGTTCTCAGTTTGAGCTGCTGTTAATAAATCGCTGGCTGACACCAACTGAGCACCTACGGCGGCCGGAACCACAGTGTGGCTGCACAGGCCACAGTGAGCCGACAAGCCCAAACCCAAGAGGAAGGGCTCTGCCCCACTGGCTGGGGACCCTGGACCAGGCCTCCATCTCTGCACCACAGTTTCCCATCTGGAGCACAATGTGTCAGGAAGATCGTCCTAAGATGCGCACAGTCATGAAAAGGCATTCTTTTTTTTTTTTTTTGAGATGGACTCTTGCTCTGTTGCCCAGGCTGGAGTGCAATGGTGTGGTTTCAGCTCACTGCACCCTCTGCCTCCTGGGTTTAAGTGATTCGCCTGCCTCAGCCTCCTGAGTAGCTGGGATTACAGGTGCCCACCACCACGCCTGGGTAATTTTTGTATTTTTAATAGAGATAGGGTTTTACCATGCTGGCCAGGCTGGTCTCAAACTCCTGACCTCTTGATCCACCCCCCTCGACCTCCCAAAGTGCTGGGATTACAGGCATGAGCTACCATGCCTGGCGGAAAAGGCATTCTTTAGCTTCTACTGCGGCACTGACCAGCCTAGACCTGAGTCTAGGAACGGGCTCCCCACTCTGAGTCTGCCAGACTTCGGGTACTGGCTGCCTCAGTCCCACGCTCTGCCCCACCTCGCCAGATTCCTGCAGCAACCCTGCACTGGTCTAGCAGCTTCAGCCAAAACCCACCCTCCCTGTGGCCCTGGATGACCTTCCTCATGGTGTCCTTTGCTTGTGAAGAACCCTCAAGGAGGTGACATCGCCTTCAGGATGTGATGGAGGCGCTCACAGGCAGGAGGGAAGGCAGATGGGACCAGACACTGATGCTCCAGGAGACAGGGACGGTTCGAGTCAAGGGCACCTAGGACCTCCGAGATGCCCAATCCCAGCCTGTGGCTGTACCTGACCCCGCAGCAGCGTCAGCCAAGCCAGAGCCCGCCCTCCTCCTGAGGATGTTTTCACCTGATTGCTGAACACAGGGGGCTCTCCAGGTTTCACTCCTTGCTCTCCTTCACTTCCTCCTCCACATCTGAACATGTCTGCATGAGGACTGAGGCCCGGCCCCTTCTTGTCCCTCATCTCTGGGTCAATCTTGCAACAGTAGAGGGAGGCTTAGTGTCACAGACTCCATTTTGCCTCTGCCCTCGTAGTAATGCCTTCTAGGTCAAATTTATACAACCTGTGGCCCGTGGGCCCCATGCGGCCCAGGAGGCTTTGAACGCAGCCCAACACAAATTCATAAACTTTCTTTTTTTTTTGAGATGGAGTCTCACTCTGTCATCAGGCTGGAGTGCAGTGGTGCAATTTCGGCTCACTGCAACCTCTGCCTCCTGGGTTCAAGAGATTCTCCTGCCTCAGCCTCCCAGGTAGCTGGGATGACAGGTGCACACCACCACGCCTGGCTAATTTTTGAATTTTTAGTAGAGACAGGGTTTCACCATGTTGGCCAAGATTGTCTTAATCTCTTGACCTCGTGATCCACCCGCCTAGGCCTCCCAAAGTGTTGGGATTATAGGCGTGAGCCACCATGCCCAGCCAATTTTCTTAAAACATTATGAGATATTTTTTTTGTGATCTTTTTAAAGATCGTCAGCTATGATTTGTGTTTGTGTATTTTATGTGTGGCTCAAGACAATTCTTCTTCCATTGTGGCTCAGGGAAACCAAAAGGTTGGACCTTCCTGCTTTAGGTTGAAAGCTTCTGCTTAGCTTTGCATGTAGACTAGCTAATTACTTGCAGTTCAACTTTAAGAAAAAATGATAACAGCCCCTTTCTCAAAACGAACTCCTGAGGAGATAAGGGCGTGTACACACATGAGTAACAGTATTTTGTTAAAGATTTATAGGAACACTGTGGCCTGACCCACTTCATCTGAACGGAAGTCAACTGACCAAGAACAGAGCTGTCTCACAGCCTCCTCAGACCCCTGCTCCCACCCACATGGCTGTGGTTGTCAGTTACTTCTTGACCTCAACCCCCTCCTCTTCCCTCTTCCCTCTTCCCTCTTCCCTTGACATAAAAGGGAGGCTGAAGTTCATACAAACTTAAGAAGGTTCTTCAGGGCACTAGTCCCCCCTTCTTCTTGGTTTGCTGGCTGTCCTGGTAAAGTGGCTTTCCTTACCTCAGCACCTCGTCTCTCAACTCACTGGACTTACTGGCTGTTGGGTGATGACTGGGATGAACTTGGACTTGGATCCCTACCCGCTGCGGACTCCCACACCTGACCTCTCTTCGAGGATCCAAACTCAGATTTCTCTCTTCTTCTGTTTTTTTTTGGCGGGGGCGGGGACACAGTCTTGCTCTGTCTCCCAGGCTGGAGTGCAGTGGTGCGATCTTAGCTCACTGCAGCCTCTGCCTCCCAGGTTCAAGCAATCTTCCCACCTCAGCCTCCCAAGTAGCTGGGATTATAGGCATGTGCAATCATGCCCAGCTAATTTTTGTATATTTTGTAGAGACAGAGTTTCACCATGTTGCCCAGGTTAGTCTTGAACTCCTGAGCTCAAGCCATCCTCCCACCTTGGCCTCCCAAAGTGCTGGGATCACAGGTGAGAGCCACAGCGCCTGGCCCACACTCAGATTTCTAACTGTCTATGTGACACTGCAGGTGTACCGTTAATCGGCACCTCTGATTTCAAGTGACCAGAACGGAGCATTGGATCCCTCCCCAGAAGCTGGCTTCTCCCATAGTCCCCCTTCCCTCAGAAAACAGCCCCCCTGTTTACCTAGTGGCTCGGGTCAAAATCAAGGGGCTCCCTTTGATTTCTCCCTCTCTTGAAAGTACCATGCTCATCCTTGTCCGGGGAGCTCTACCTGTAAGAGTCTCGCCCTCATGCCAGCCTCCAGCTTGACATTCAGGTCTCAGCTGACGTGTCCCCAGGGGCCTCCTCGACCTGTTCATGGTCCTGTGAATCCCCTGCATGGGGCCCATAGCTGCCGGAAGCTCTGGTTTGTTTAGTTAGTGTCTGTGTCTCCCCCATAGTGGAATGGTCTGGGGCCTTCCTGGGTTCCTGCCAAGTCCCCACCTCCAGAAGACCCGGCCCTAAGCAGGTGTTCCAGGTGGGTTGTTGGGGAGCAGGTGGAAGGGCCGGGAGTGCTCAGGACTGGGAAGGGGACACTGCCTTGGAAGAGAAGGGAAAAAAGCTCAGGGAGAGAGAAGGAGGGTAGGCAGTGGAGGGGACCGGCAGGAGAGGCCACATGCAGGACCCCTGGGCTGCTGCTGCTGCCGCCCTCGGGGCGCCCTCTTGGAATGCTGTCTTTGACTCCCAGCCTTTGCTTTCACTGTGGCCACAAGCCTCCTGTGCCACCATGCACTCACATTCTGATTGAAGCCCCTCTCTTTGCCATCTCAGAAGGCGGCACTGCTGATGACCTCTCTAAACATGTGGCCTCTCTGCACGTGTGGACCGGCTAAAGTCCTTTGCCATGCCTCCTCGTGCTGCATCTTAATCATCTGTGTTGGATCTCACTTGCCCTTGGGGCACATCCTCCCTGGGGTCCTGAGAGCCCGGCTTCCCCACCCATGTCAACATGAGACTATTGGCCAGCTCCACCCCACCACCACCCCCCACTCCAGACTCTGCAGTTGGAAGAGGCAGAAGTGCCCTCTGCTGGCCACTGGCTGGGTCCCTGCACCCCAGAGCAATAATTAAGAGTTGAGAGATGAGAAGCCAGGCGCAGCCCTTGTCCCTGACTCTTCTCATCCTCCCAACTCCACCCATTACCCACCCTGTGTTCCCTCAAATGCATGTCTCCCCTTCTGGAACCCTCCTCTTCAAATCTTCTCTCTTCTTCTTCCACTGGTTCATCCACACCCCAGTCTACACCCCATCCACACCCCCATCATCTTTAAGACTCACGTAAGTGTCACTTCTTCTAGGAAGCCTCCCCTGACTTTGTCCAGGGTAACTGGCCTCGCCTGCCTTCTGCCCCTGCCATCATTACAAAGGACACCCCTCACAGCTTCTTACACTGCGCAGTCCTTATCTGTCCATCCGCCTCTCCCTGCAGGCCACTGCACTCCCTGGGGATGGGGACAATGGCTCTGATGTCCTCAGCACCCAATGCAGAGCTGTGCAGGGCAGAGGCTCACATGGAAAATGTTCACTGAATGAAGTCAACTGACTTCAGAGGTTCTGAGCAGGACTGTTCCGAGGTGGGTGTCCTGGCAAACAACCCAATATACATAAATATGTGCTCATTGAGAAACATTTCAAACAACAGAAGAGCTTACAAACTAAAAACTGAAATGCTTTTCAATTGTTTTCCAACCTACAACCTTTCATAAATCACCACTACCCTCAATGTGGGGTGTGTTCGTCCCCCACCTTCCCACATTCCCTTTGACTTTACCTTTATTCTGTTTTGTTTTCCACATAAATGGGGTCATACTGTACACATAATTGTATCCTTTATTTGTTTTCATTAAAAGGCCCATTTTGAGGTCCTTCTAATCAGCATCTGTAGGTTTACGTCATTCTTTTTAGTGACGGCGGAGCATACCCTATCCCAGTACTGCCACAGTGTCTAAATCCGAGGCTTGTCAATTAAATCTCAGTAAAGCCGGGGACAAATGCCAGGTGTTTGGTTTTTTGATTTGGTGGCTTTTTAATTATTTTGCAGTCACAAACAACATTTCTGCAAACATCTTCATGCCCAATTCTTTGTGTCCATGGGCACATATTTCTGTAGAACTGGCTCTTAGAAGTGGAATCGCTGAGTCGGAGGGCATATCTATTTCGCATTCTAATAGAGACACAAACTCCGTCCGAATTGGACACCAGCTGACACATCAACAGTGCGTGCGTGTCTCCTTTCCTCCACATTCTTGACAGCATTGGGTGTTATTCGACTTTAACGTTTTTTGACACATCTAATCATGTCAACCTTCAAATCCAGCTGAACTCTGATTAAAGTGGGTGTTTCGAGAAGCCCTCAGAGAACAGAGCCTTGGAAAGGGTGCACGGTATACAGATGAGCCTCTAGCCTCCCAGAGCAGCAGCTGGTAGCCCCATTTCCTTTTCCTTGGCCAGGGGAAGGAAAGTCCCCCCCAAAACCCTTGGTCCTGGAGTCACGGCCCAAGCCCCTCAGCAGTTCCCTCAGGAGCAGAGGAACTCCTGGGTCAACCAGAGTCCCCGCAGAGGTGGATTGGCTTCTGGCAACATCTCCAGTCTGAATGTGACCCCAGGTGATCCTTAAGGAAGCAGCTGCCTTGTGTTCTCTGATAAATGCTGCCTGCAAGGGAGGACATGCATTTGGGAGAACTGGAGAATTACACACTTGGTTATGCACAGTGAGCCCAGGAGAATATGAAGCAGTGTGTGCCCTGGAAGAACCATTGGGTTTTGGAGATGTTAAGGCCTGCTGGGCCCACCGGGGGGGCTTACCTCTTATTCTACCCCCTCCCTGCCACCCCAGACTAGAAGGAATCTATTCGGAGAATGACACTTGGAAATAGCTTGCCATTTGTGTGGCCTAACAAGTTCTAGAGAAAGGGACAATGGGGAATTTCCAACATTCAAACAGTCCTGTATTCATCCAGATTCCAAGGTCCTCCTGGTCAGCAGCTGGGGGGTGCGGGGGCAGATGGCGCACAGACACCTGGGATAGTGTTTGCAGACTTTCATCTCCTAAGAGCCCAGGGATGGCCTCCAGGGCTGGCTGGCTTGCCTGCCTTCCTGTTTTTATCCTCATAGGTCTTATACAAAGATTTAAAAATGACTCATGGAAAAAGCCAAGCTAGGGAAGAGGGCTGGAGTTGGCCACCAAGTGCAGGACAGTGGGAGGCCTGCAGGGATGCTCACCAGTGACCTGGGAACCTGTGTGGTCTCAAAACTGCATCTGCAGGAAGGTCAGGACAGGAGAAGTGGGTGTGGGGGGACACAGAGCGAACGCTTACTGGAGAATGTCCTGGGAAAGAGAAAAACACCGGTGCTAAAATACATCCCGAGGTGGGCGTCGTATTGAATTTCCAACCTGCTTCCATTTCTATGCACTTAGACGTCCTTTCCTCCTATGAAAGAGACAGAGTAGGTGTTATTATTCCTTTTACAGATGTCCAGAGAAGAGGTGTCCTCCCAGGTAGAACCCCTGACCCAGAGGCAAGGGTCCTCCTCTCAGTTCTCAGTTTCTTAGGAACTTGTGGGCCTTATTTGCCTGGCCAACTATTTCCCATCCATTAGGGCTCAAATCAGCCTCCAGAGCTGTCCCCAAGGGCCCTACTGTCAGTTCTTCTGCTGTGTCCAACTAACACTCCGAGTCGTGTCCTGTCATTGCAGGTTGTACGTCTGTCATCTCCTGGGTACACGGTAGGTAAACTCCTCTCCCACCTCCTCCGCCTCCCCTGGCCTGGCCTCTCCCACCTGACATGGCCAAGCAGAAGTTTGTGGAATAGCTGGATGGGAGTGTCAGTGGATGCTAAGGGACAACTAGATAATGCCCCTGCTGGTCTGAAGCCAAAGAAAGCCAGGGTGCCTCAGATGGCACCGCCTGCCTGGGAAAACCACCGTGCCGTTCTGAGGATCCCAAATCTACTCGGGAAGAGGATAAAGACAATCCTGGGCTCTGGGTGGGGGGTGGAGGTAGAGAAGGAAAAGAAGCTGGGGTCTGGAATGCCTCAAAGGTGCTGGCACAGGGAGGGAAGGAGCAGGGTGGGGCTACTGGCTTGGGCGCCTTCGAGAACTGGTGGAAAGGTTCCTTTCACTGGAAGCACAGAGGCCCCGAGCAATTCCAAGGGCTCCCTCTCATGGCCATTTGAGGCCAAAGCTGAGTGTTCAGAGGTGAATCCCATATTTTCCTCTCAGCCAAGGGTGTAGAAAATGGGCTCAGAAGACAGGGGAAGAGCACTGGTTTTGGAGTCGGATTCGTGTCCTGATCACCCACCAATTCACCTGGCTGCATTGGGCAAACCACTCCACCTCTCAGTCTCGGTTTCCTCATCTGGTTAATGAAGTGGTCTGCCTGGCACCATGGCTTATGCCTGCAGTCCCAAAGCTTCTGAGGCCAAGGCAGAAAGATCATTTGAGGCCAGGAGGTTGAGACCAGTCTGGGCAACATAACAAGAGCCTGTCTGTAAAAAAAAAAAAAAAAAAAAGTTTAGAATTAGCCATCGTGGTGGGGCGCACCTGTAATCCTAGCTACCCAGGAGACTGAGGTGAGAGAATTGCCTGAGCTCAGGAATTTAAGGTTACAGTGATCTGTGATCACGCCACAGCACTCGACCTGGGTAACAGAGCAGGACACTGTCTAAAAGCAACAAACTCAGAGGGTCAGATGAGATGAACAGCTCTCACAAACGGGAGTGCTGGGCTAAACACGCTGCATGTTACCTTAGCCTCTCTCAACGACACGACAGTGACATTGATGAGTTTTTCCTCTGCTTAGTTCCACAGCACAGGCCAGCTCTGGGCTGAGCACTCCACATGTGATGGCAGGCAGGTGCCACGTACAGAGGAAGAGGCTGAGCATCAGAAAGGTTACATGACTTAGCCTTGGCCACCCAGCTGGTGAGTGGCAGAACTGGGGCCTGAAGCCAGATTGATGGCTCCAGAGCTCCCACTCTCCTAGCCCATGGTGTATCTCATGGTTTCTAAAGTCCTTTCCATCTCCAGCTATCTGTGATTCAAGGTGTCTGCTGGAGAAAAGAGATTCACAGGAAACAGTAGGGGCTTGGCAGGTAGATAGGACAGGAACCAAAGATACAGTTGACAGGCAGTCAGGCCTAGAGCAACCTCACAGACAAAAAGCACAATCTTTACAGGAGAAGAAATTATGACTGCCACTCAATTAGCCAACAAAGCTATGCTTTCTCACCAAGGAGCATGAGAAAGGGCACCATTGTCTAAAAACTCATCGAACAAAAATGTCATCAGAAGTTTTTTATAAACTTTGCAACTGCCCACACCAAAGTTGCTGCCTCTGAGGAGCCTGACAGTTCTGGAATATCCAACCATATCCATCTATCCAACCATCCATCCAACCATCCATCCACCCAACCATCTATCCGCCCACCCATCCCCCTGTACCTCCATCCATCCACCCATCCATTCAATTACCCACCTAACTACTTACTATCCAAACTGCCCATCCAGTCATCTGTCTCCTCATCCATCCATCCATCCATCCATCCATCCATCCACCCACCCATCTCTCCATCTATCCATTCATCCACACACCTACCCATCTCCCCATCCATCCATCCATCAATTTACCCATCCACACAACCCTGAAGCCAAAGAAAGTGAGGGTGCCTCAAATGTAAACCCTCTTACCCATCCATTCATCCATCTGTCTGTCCATCAAACATTGCTGAGCCCTAAGTTACTGGTGCCTTATTCTCAAGAGTTCCTAATTGGATATTACATGTCTCAGACATGCAGGCCAAAAAACACAGAAATATGTTGCATTAATTATTTATGGCAACAGATTGCTTAGCAGCTTGAAACAAGCATTGATTACCTCACACGGTATCTGTGGGTCAGGAGTTTGGGAGTGGCTGAGCTAGGCTCAAGGTCTCTCATGAGGTTGAAGTTAAGATGTTGACTGGGAAAGGAGGCTGTGCTTCCAGAATAGCTCACTTACATAACTACTGATGGGAGGACTCAATTCTCCATTGGTTTTTGTCCCAAGTCCTCTTAGCTCCTCATCACATGAGCCTCTCCTAAGGGCTACTTGAGCATCCCCACGACATGTCAGCTGGCTTCCCCTAGAGTTGATCCAAGAAAGAGCAAGAAGGAAGCTGCTGAGCCTCAAGTCCTCATCTCTGAAGTCACAGATGGTCACTTCATATCATTGTATTTACTAGAAGAGTCACTAAATCCAGACCACAGTAAAGGGAGGGGTATTAGCCTCCAATTCTTAAAGGGCTGAGTATCACAGAGCTTTGGACATACTTTAAAACCGCCACATGTGTGGAAGATGCTGAGATAGAGTGTGAAGGATACTGAGAGGCAAGAGGGAGAATGTGGTCAATTCTACCTAGAATAGTAGAGGGAGTCAAAGAAATAAAGCTCTAACGAGGTGATACTGAATGAGCTGAGTTCTATCCTCGACCTGGAATGTGGCCTTAAATAACCCACTATCCCCTTCTGGGTCTCTGTGTTGTGAAAATAAATTGGGACAACGCAAAGGAGATCAAACAGAAGCCATTCATTGTGAGCTTGCCATGGCAAGGGAATCGGCCACTGTCACTCGCATTTGACAGAGACTCCCAGGCAGGCAGTGGGAGGGGAAGCATCATAGTGAAAAGGGGGAGGCCCTGACTGGAGACTGTTGGGATGGGGAAGTGGGAGTGGCTAGCTGGAAGCCGGACATCTCATTGGATTGCCTTAGGAGCATTTTTGGCTTTCTCTGGTTGGTGTTGAGTTGGAAGCAGCAGTCAACAATAGGGAAGCTGACTAGGACCGGCCGAGCCCTGATCATTCTGGGCCTATTGCCACAGAGGTTTGGTTTGTCTTCCTGGGCTGCTTGCTGCAGAGACTGTGGGCCAGGCTTCTCTTTTCCTACACAGGCAGGCCATTGTCCGTTTGTACATGTGGGCTTTTGGGGTCCTCCTCTGAAAATCAAAGGTTGGTTGACTGAGCTCTGAGGTCCTGCGAACCCTGACATTCTGAGGATCTGGCTTCTTCACCTGGAAGTGAGGTGTCCAGAGATGGTGATGTGCTGGATAGACAAAGGACTGGCCAGTCCGAGTGGCTGCCATGCCCGAGGTGAGGCCTTGTGGACAAACTGGAAACGAAAGAGAGGGAGATGCCTCGATTGGACCCTCCTCTCTGTGGGCACTCCCAGGAGTTTCCAATTCTCAGCAACCCAAGCATCCCAGCATCTTTGACTATGGACCTTGAAAGTTACAGTTCACCTCAGGCGACTTCCCCAGGGCACACGCTGATGCTTAAATCTGCATTGCTATCTTCTCTCCAACTGGCAGTCTTATTCTTGCTTGATTGCCTCTGGAGACAGCAGGCTCACTCTCAGTGGAGACAAGGATGTGGCCCATCTGCTCTGGCACATGGGGCAGCTTCCAAGATGGCTGGGACATCTGCAGCATGCTCAGCCCCTGAGCACCCATCCCACCACATCCTCCCTAGGCTGACCCTGCCCTTCCGTCTTCTTTCGTGAAACAGCGACTGAGGTTTTGCCTCAGGAAGGCCCCTGACAAAATGAGAGGGGAAGGTTAGAAGTGAACCTCGCCTTTTTCCTATGCTACCTCCATGGGGAAGGCTTTTTATCAGATTAGCAATGGTCTGGAGGAAACAGGACACAGGACTGGTAAATTTTGACATGGAAATGGAGATGAGGAAAAACTGTATGTGCTCTTCAAGTGTGATGTCATCATCATGACAGCACAGACCTCCTGGTGTCCCCGTCTCATCCGACAGTCACCATCACCCTGAGGGGCATGGCAGGGCAAGTTCCCCCTTCTTAGCGTGTGACTCCACCACCTGCCCACCTGCCCAAGCCTGCAAGTCTCCCTGAACTTTTCTCCTCCTTTGTGCTCCCATATCTGACCCTATAAAGTCTGTTTCTGAATGGGCATAGGAACCCCTCCTTCCTGTCCCTCCCTGACCACAGCTGTGCAGGAGTCATGCCTACGGACTGGGGCCCAACGACCTGGGCTCAAATCCTGGTATTGGCATGAACAAGTTGTGAGGCCTCTGGAGCCCAATCCCACCTGGTTAAGCCCATCTCTCATCCCTGCAGCATCCCTTCTGCAGCACCCAGCAGGATGGGCTTCCTGAAGCCCAGCCCACCCTCCCTTCCTCTGTTCCAGCCTCTGCCCCATCAACCTATCCTCCAGGTTCTGTCACGCCCAGCACCCTACACAGAGGCTGGTGAGCAGAGGACTCTCTCTAGCCCAGTTCTTCTTGAAGGAGATGGAGGGGTCGGGGCTGGGTGAATAAATACACCGAACAGCCTGATGATACAGGCCCATTCTGCACGGAATTAAAGTCACTCACAGGTGGAGGCAGTAGTCCTGCAGGTGAGCTGCTGGGGTTTGTATCGGGCTCCTCCATTTACTAGCTGTGACCTTCAACAAGCCCTTTCACCATTCTGTGCCTTGGCCTCCTTATCTTAAGATGGGCTGGTAATAGTATCTGCTCATGGGTTGTAAGACAGATGGTCCTTCCCAATGTGAGTGGGCATCAGCCATTCTGTTCAGGGCCTGCAGAGAACAAAAAGATGGAGGAAGAGTGAATTTGCTGTCTGCCTGTGACTGCTTGTGCTGGGACATTAATCTTCCACCCTCAATGCTCCTGGTTCTCAGGCCTTCAGATCTGAATTGGAATCTCCACAGCGGGCTTTCCTTGGTCTCCAGCTTGCTGACAGTGAACTGTGGGACTTCTCAGCCTCCACAATCACGTGAGCCAATTCCTTCTAATAAATCTCCTCGTGTGCATGTGAACTGTTGGTTCTGTTTCTCTGGAGAATTCTGATTAATACACCACAGGCTTAGAATAGTGACTGGCACATAGTAGGTACTCACTGAGTATTAGCCAATATTACTATCTTACCTGGTTCCATAAATACTCTCCCACTGAAAAGGTGTTCCTTTGTGTCTCACCTTGGAAGAGACAGGGCCACAAAACTAATCCTTGCATGTTTCTCCAGGAGGCCTCTCTGGTCTCGTCTGGCGTCCATGAGCCCAGCTGTACCAGGGACTCCAAGGCCAGGCCTGTGGGATGCTGAGAGAACTGGCCCCTTAGTGCTGAGTGGGCCAGGGTCCCTCTGGTGGCTGCCACCTGCAGCCTCCTCTAGGCCCCTGCTGGCCAGGAGGTGTGGGCAGTTCTGAGTGCACACCAGTTTTGGGGATGAGGCTGGGATCAGGAAAAAAAGTATGTCTGCTTGTCTGGTAGGGTTTGCCTCCCAACTCCACGTGACTCAGTTTAATTCAATTAATTCCAAAGCACTTCCGAGCCCCTACTCTGAGCCAGTTGGATTGCCAGGGCCCCAGAAATAAGGCAGACCCAGGCCCTGTTGTTAAGATATTCTGCAGAGCCTCCATCTTTCTGCAGATGGGCTTCAGGGGTTGAAGAGGGGGACTGCCACCCCAGCCCACCCAAGTCGCAGCCACAGCTCATCTCTCCAACGCAGCTCACATTTTGGTTTTCAGCAAGACAGTTGCTTAAAAGAAAATTTTTCTTTTTAACAGTTTTGGAAATAGGGTTCATATTAAACATGGCCTTGAAGTATGAGTTTGATTTTGACAGTAAATAAGGGAGTGAGAGGAAAGAGGGCTGTCCAGGTAGAGAAAACGGCTTGAGCAAAGGTGCGGCTGTGTGCTTCTCAGAGGGGAAAGAGCGACATTTACTGAAGATTTGCCCAGAGCTGAGTGTGAGTGAGTGCCTGGCTATCCAGCTCTCACGAAGGCCTACAAAGAGGATGCTATTATCCTCATAGACAGATGAGGCTCAGAGAGGCAAAGTAAAGGTCAGGGCAGAGGCTTGGGAATCACACCAGCTCGGAGACCTCGAGCACACATGCGCCTTCTATTGCCAGGCTGCTTGAGGGGAGGCGGAGTTCCAAGCAGGTTTCATGCTGGGTGTGGCCAAGACGGGCTGGGCTTGAGTTAGCCCGGCTCCCTGGTGTTGGAGCAGGCTCAATGGGCAGAGTTGGGCTAACGGGGGGACTTGGGGCTGTCATCATTCATGGCCACAGGGACATGGCTCAACCATTTATAACTAGAGTTATAACTTAACAAAAAAAAAAGACCTGATAAGTACCTTCACCTCCCAGCAAACACATATCACATCTGTTATTGCCACTAAGAACCGGTGACCAAAGGAAGCTGGTTCAGAAGCCCAGCCCTGTGTTAAGGTCCCGTGGGGTCTGCGCAATGTGGAAACACCTCAGGGAACAGGTAGCTCTCTCCTGTGTCCTCCCAAGTCCTCTGAAGTCCCCAGGATATTCATCTTATAAAGTGGTTGCTGAAAAAATAAATAAATAAAGTGGTTGGTGAAAAATAAGCCATGAAAAAAACAGAAATGTGATAGGCAGGTAAGTAGATAGATGGGGTATTAGATGGATGGATGGATGGATGACAGATAGATAGATAGATCATAGACAGGAAGGGAGGGGGCCAGGCTGGGAGTTGGCAAGGATACTGTCCCACAGTCCTGCCTAGTTGGACAGGACCAGGGCCAGCTAAGAGCAGGGATTAGATGGAGACGAAGCAGAGATGGTGCTGTCAGAACAAAGGGCCCAGAAACTGCTCTGTGCAGGGACTGCATCACCTTCCAAATACAGGGTTCAAATGTACAGCAACTAACTTCCCCAGGCAGCGATCTTCCTTTGATCAAAGCTATAACCCCAGAAAGTGCTGGCACATAGTAGGTGCTCAAGGCATAGTTCTTGAGTGAATGTGTGGAAAGGCTTGTCCACATCCTAACTGGACTTTGTAGGTAAACTGTCCTCCCAGCTGCCCCAGGCCTGGAAGAAGCACTACATGTGCCCCAACTTGAAGGACGGGTGGTATCAAGAGCACTGGCTGTGGGACCTGAGGGCCCAGGTGTAAGGTCTGACTTTGCTATTAACTGAGAGTTCAGCTTGTACATGAGTCACTGTATACAACAGCCCTCTGAGGTGGACACCACAATCCCCATTTTATAGACGAGGAAACTGGAACCTCAAGAGATCAAGCCACTTGCCCATGGTCACAGAATGTGGCAGTCTTCAATCATGGCCCCTCAAAAATGTTTTTTAAAAGAAGCAAAGAACAATAATTTTTAAAAAACAAAAGAAAAACAAACATGGCCCCAATGTTCTTTGACCCTCCTCCCATTGAGAGGTGGGGTTTACATCTCTTCCTCTTGGATCTGGGCTCTGTGATTGCTTGACTAAGAGAATACCATGGAAGTGATGTGGTGCCAATTTGGGTTTCCAGGCCCCAGTCATAAGAAGCTAGTAGGCTCCCCTTCCTGTCTCTTCAGATATTTACATTTGGAACCCAGCCGCCATGCTGTGAGGAAGCCAGGAAGCCACAGGGAGAGGCCACTGGAGCTGTGTCAGAGGCAGCCCAGCTCAGGTCATAGCCAACAGCCAGCATCAAGGCCCGGCCATGAGTGGGGAGGACATGGAGATGGCTCCGGTCCTGGCTGTCAAGTCACCTCCAGTCTCTGAGTCTTTCTAGCCCTAGACATTGCAGATGGAGATAAGGGCTCCCACTGCCCTTTCTGAATTCCTGGCCCATGAGTATCACTGAGTTCAGGGAGGTTGCTACAGCAATAGTGACAGGGACACTAGAGAGAGCAGTGAGGCCATGTCTGGAAAGCAGGTCCTGCTGACCCCGGAACCCATCTCTTCTCCACTGCCTCAGTTTACCTGGCACATCTGCATTTCAGATGTGCTGCCTGAGGTAATGGGGCCCTTGAGGGGTGACTCGGCCAAGCCTAGGAGTTTCATAAGTATCACTCCCAGCTGCTCCGTGGGCTGGCGCATCAGTGTAGGGCTGGCCCTTAGGAAGAGACCAATGGGAAGTGTCAAGGAGCTCCCTGAGCTCAGACGGGTGTGGACTCTGATCTCAGGTCGGCCAACTCCTAGCTGTGTGAACTTGGGCGAGTCACTCTGTGTCTCAGTTTCCTCCTCTGCACAGTGGGGTTACCAGGGAGGAGCTGATAGACCTGTTGGAGGACTCCGTGTGTGAGACTGAGGCACCATGTGTCTCCGTGAAATAAATGTTATCAATGCTCTTAATCGGGGCTTAAAGGACCAAGAACTTCAGCTCAGGATGGGCCAGTATTCCAAGGGAAGGTCACCGGCCCCAGGGCAGGGCTGTGCCGGGGAGGGGAGATTCAGGCAAGGGCAGAGGTCCAGAGCAGAATCCTCTCCTGCCCTGCTCCAGGGAGCTCTGTGTAGGGAGTCAGAAGCCTGTGTCCCAGTGTGCAGCTTTTAGGCTTTTTTGGGGGGGATCATGCTCTAGATATTCCCTCCAAATGAGATCACCATTTGACAGGACTGAGAAAAAGAAAGACAGTGACTCTCCAACTCCTACTTTGTGTCTCTCTGGTCACTGTTAATATTGAAATGAACATGGATTTTAATTCTTTTTAAATTAATTGTCTTAATATTCCAGTAAACTTTAATATTAATACAATTTAATTAATTTGAAAATACACTCTGTAACTATCTATGAGGTGTAGCAGTGAATGTATGCATTAAATGTGTTAATTCTGTTCCATGTCAACACTGAAAATACCATCATTTGTGCACCCCTGGTTTAGCATGTCTTTAAAAACATTTATTGATCTATAATAAATAATAGTTGTACATATTTTGCGGGTACACGTGATATTTTGCTACATGTATGTGTTGTGTAATGATCAATTCGGATACTTGGGATGTGCATCACCTCAAACATTTTTTTAAATATAATGAGAGCCTCATAAAATGGACGTGGTGCAGGGCTCCCCTGAAGCCAGGCTGGGGTTTCTGGGGACTGTGATCATTCGTGATAGGACCCAACCTCCTTGGGGAAGACACCTGGCAAGAGACCTGCCAAGACCCTGGCTCCACGGCAAGAGAAACTGAGGCAAGGTCCCAGAGGCATAGGCTGGGCCAGTGCCCAGGAGTGTAGGAACCACTCATCCACTGACAGTGTATCTCCTGGGTGCGCCTGTGTGTGAGGCCCTGTTCTAGGCATAGGGGCACAGCAGGAAGCAAGAATCCAAGTCCCTCCCCTGTGGGACCTGTGGGCAGTCAGGCAATGAAGTGTAGTCAATGCTCAGAGATCTCAAGTGCTCGTGCTAGAGAGGAGAAAAGTAGAGAAAGAGGTGAGGATGGAGGGTGGGAAGCCCGCACTAGTGAGTGAGTTAAGACAGAAAAGATGGGGAGGGTGAGCCGTGCAAGTATCTAGGGCAGGAGCTGGCAATATTTTTCATAAAGGACCAGACAGTAAGTACTTGTGGCTCTATGTGCACCCTGGCATCAGTCACGACCCTCAACTCCGCTGTGGTAGGGCAAAAGCATCATAGACAGTATGTCAATGGGTGGCTTGGCTGTGTTCCAAATAAAACTTTATTTACATAAACAGGTGGTGAGCCTAACTGTGCAACCACTGAGCTAGGCGAAGAGAATTCCAGGAAGAGGGAACAGTGAGTGCAAAGGCCCCGGGGTGGGAGTGAGCCTGGTGCCTGAGGAACAGCAAGGAAAAGGATGCGGCTGGTGAAGGATGACCAGTGGATAAGGTTAGAGGAATCACTGGCAATGGAACAGGGAAGGGGGAGAGAAGAAGCTTTGCTTGACTAGGCCCTGGTCAGGGTTCATCTGGGGACCCTCACCCTGGGGATGTGGCTACAGACCCAACTCTAAGCTCCACACATGAACCCACATCCACTGCCATGCTTCTTGCTCCGAGAAGGACTGGCTGAGATCTGTTGAAAAATCAGCAACAGTTCTCACCCTGGGAGTGGTCTGCGCCCTCGAGCCCAAGTCTGACGCTTCCCTGTCTTCTCTTTTATCTATGGTCTACATGCTCATTACAGGTGGAGGGTCTTGCCTACGAGTCATCCAGATTCTTGGCATTTTGAACAAAGAATTGGACAAAACGCACAAACAAAGCAATGACAGAATGAAGCAATGATTTCCTGAAACGAAAGTACACTCCACAGAGTAGAAGCAGGCTCGAGCAAGCGGCTCAAGAGCAGTGGCTGCAAATCTCCTACGGTTTAAGTGCCCTCTGGAGGTTTCCCATTGATTGTACAGAGTTACCCCCTATATAAATGACCAGTCTGATTGGTGGCAGGAGGTGATCGATCAGAGGTACTTTACATTTTTCATCTGCAACATACTGGAAAAAGGGGTAGGGTTTAAGGGAGCAGCCTGTGATCCTTGTTACTTGGCTGTGGAAAGATGGGGTTTTCCTTTTGATTCAGTTCTAGGAAGTCAGTGTGAATCTCCCAGGGTCCCTGCCTCCAGACCCTATTCTCCTGCCTTACACTTTTCCTCCCAGTCTCCCCTCCACTCCAGACCAGCAGAGCTAAAACAACCCCAATTCATCCTTTAGCCTGTTGGGAAGGGACCCCAGCCCCGGAGCTGGGCACTGTTTCCACCAAGCTTATCAGATAAGAAGTGTGAGGCCCACACAGATGAAATCACTGCCCAGATGAGGGAGGCAGGAGCAAAACGCAATTGTCTGACTCCTAAGGGGTGTGAGTTACCTCTGTGGGTGACAAACGTGTTCCGAGGGGTTTACCATGTGCCAGGCACTGGAATGCCATCCAAGGGGCCAATGTTGGTCTAGGAGAGCTCACCTCGGTGGAGGTAAGGGGTTGGCAGTACTCATGGCAGTAACTCTTCATAGTCCCAGCACACCCCACCAGGAATGCCGAGGCAGGTGAGGATGGCCCTTTGACTGTCGATGCAAATGCCCCTTTCCTGAGGAATGACAGCATATTCAGAGAATTTTGAAAAAGTGTTATGGGCTAGATTTGGGTTACAGACAGCTGTGATCAGAGGCCAGGAGCTAAATGATGGATGCCAATGAAGAGACTTCTATTACTGAAGTAGGACAGGTACTCCAGGTGGCAGGGGTGGGGGCTGGGAATTTGTAAGGCAAGAGGGCACAATGCCCACCCCTGACCCCACCCTCTCCTAAGGGCACTGTAGACACAGGCTGAGCCCAAATCCCAGCTCCTCTGCCACCTATCTCAGTGACTAGGAGAGAGTTCTATCTCCCTGATCCTCAGTTTCTGAATCTGTCAAATGGGGAGAACAATACCCATCTCAGGGTATTTTATTGACTCATTGATGTATTTATTTAGTGGGGATTAAATGAGATGGCAAATATCCAACTCTTGAGGAACTGCAATATTCAATGAGAGTTAGACCCCTGCCCTATCGCCTTTCCTTTGGAAACCCCCATCCCAGGAGGCAAGGGATCCTCTCTGACGATGAGGGTACGCTGTTTATGCAACATACCTGAGGGACAGTGTGACCAGAGGGGTGGGAGTCAGGCACTGAGGATGCACTTGCTGTTTACAGATTGTTTGATGACTGGCTGTTGGAGCTCCCCAATGGCTCAGGAGCCAACCAACCATTTTACTCCATGTTCTGGTTTGTTCGTTCATTCATTCATTCAGTCATTAAGCATGTATTACATGCCTACTCCACGCAAAAAATACATGAGAGATTCAACCTTTCTACCTAACCTTATTTCACCTCACTCCCTGCAGCGACCTCTCCTCCCCACTGGACTGAACTTTCACTGCCTCTGCTCTCCGAAATGCCTAACACTCTCCGTCTCGGTGCCTTGACTCAAGCTATGGCTGTTGCCATCACCGCTGCCTCTTACTCTTGAAACAAAGCAGCATGTTAGAAAGATCCCAGGTTCAGAGTCAGGAAGTAAGGATTTGAATTTTGGCTCTGCCTCTCACTAGCTGTTTAGTTCTTTAGCCTGCCTGATTCCCAGCTTCCTCATCTGCCAGATGGGAATGATACCAGGATCGATCGAGGAAGGTTGTTGTAAGAATGAACACTATGCCATGTGTAAGATATCTACTATGTCAGTGATATCTAAGAGATCTGCCAGTGCCTGGCTTGGATTGAAACTTAGTAACAAATGTCTATTGAACGGACCTGATGAATTCTGGCCTGGGAGGTGGGAAACTTGAATCTTGGTCATAGGAATATGTGCTTGAATAAGTCACTGCCTTTCTCAAGGGGCTCCAATCCCTTGATTAAAATTGTAGAGTTGGATCACCAGAACACCAAGTATTGACATCCCTGGCTTTTCACTCCGTATTTCTGAACTGGATCCCGGGACACTTGGCACACAGCCGGCTTCATCTCCATTCTCTGTCAGGGAAGACATCACTAGTTGATCAGAGTGTTCTATCTGCTGAGCCCTCGGAATCTCTCCACAGGGCACCTGCCAGCCATTGTCAATCAAACCAGAGGTGACAGTTGAGATCAAACAGACTTCATTCCTGGTCGGTGCCTGGTTGAGTGACGAGGCCTATCAGTGCTGGAAGACACAGTCAAGGTGATGGACATGTGGGGGTGGTGGAGTGTGCAGAGCAGAGGTGTGACTGTGGGGCAGTGGTCCATTTAGGACGTCCTGCAGGGCACAGACACCACTATCCTGTCACTTTTGTCCCATTAGCCCTTCTTTATAGCTTCACCTGGGTAGTCATTATATCCAGCCCAGGGGAGAGGCAGAGGTGAGGGAAGGCGCTAATTATGAAGCGGGTGGTGTGTTTGTTTGGTTTTCATGGCTGATGTCTTAGTCCTCATCAGTAACTCTGCCAGGAAACCATTCTTAGCTCCACTTCAAGGGTGAGGAATAGGAGGCTCGGAGCTTACTGATCATGATGATTAATCATAAAACCACAGTAATTGGCTCGGGTTGCACTCCAGCTTCACCCCTTTTGGCTGTAGGGTCTTGGGCAAGTCACCTAGTCAATCTGTGCTTCAGTGTCCTCACGTGTGGAGTAGGCCTAACAGCAATATCCACCTCATTATGAAGGTGTTAATACACATGAAGGTTTTGGAACGTTATTCAGCATCTAATAAGAGGTCAGTAAACTCTTTTCAAGACTGTTGGCATGGATTTCGTATTCATTTTGCTCTTCCCAGCACCTCAGACAATGTCCTGTACATAGTAGGTGTTCATTAAATGCTTTAGATTCACTTGTTGACCATTATCAATTCCCCAGAAAAGTCCCACATAGGTCTTCTTGTTGCCAAGAAAGACCCACATAGGTTTTTCTTGTTGTCAAAGAGGACATCTCAAAGAAAATAAAAAAATACGCTGAGCCAAACAAAAATGCAAGCACAACATATCAAAATTTGTGAGATGCAGCCAAAGCAGTGCTGAGAGGAAATTTTATAGCACTAAGAGGCCTACATTAGAAAACAAGGAAGCTCTCCCTCAATGATCAAAGTCATCCCCTCAGGAAAAGAAAAGTGAAATAAGCCCAAGGTAAGAAAAAGAAAGGAAATAATAAAAGCAGAAGTCAATGACACTGAAAACAGAAAAAGAAATAGAAAAATAAAAATTAAAAAAAGAGCGGGCTCTTTAAAGAGAGCAATGAAATTAACAAGCTTCTAGCAGGACTGACGAAAAGAGATAAGCTATAGATTACTATATCAGAAATAAAATGCAGCCAGGTGTGGTGGCTCACACCTATAATCCCAGTACTTTGGGAGGCCAAGACAAGAGGAGAGCTTGAGCTCAGGAGTTCAAGACCAGCCTGGGAAAAATAGTGAGATCTCCTTTCTACAAAAAATTTAAAAAAATTAGCTGGGTGTGTTGACATGAACCTGTTGTCCCAGCATCTTGGGAGGCCGAGGTGGGAGGACTGTTTGAACCCAGGAGGTCAGGACACTGCAGGATGCCATAATTGTGCTACTGTAATGCAGTGACAAGCAAGACCTTGTCTCAGGAAAAAAAAAAAAAAGAAAGAAACAGAATGGAAGGAAGGAAGGAAGGAAGGAAGGAAGGAATGAAGGAAGGAAGGAAAAGAAAGCCAGGCTAAAATAGTAAATGTTATGATGTTTTATCTTAGCATAATAAAAATGGTAAACAGGCTAAAGAATAAACCACATGATCATATAAATTGATGCAGAAAATTCATTTGACAAAATTGAACATCCATTCATGACAAGAACTGCCAGGAAATTAGGAATAGAATGGAGATCGATCCAAGATGGCCGACCACTAACAGCTCAGGATTGTAGCTCCCAGTGAAAGCTCAGAGAACGAGACGATGCCACATCTTTAGACGAATTTTTGTTACTCACCGATTAGCCGATTCCCAGTGGAGGAGCCCCACGGGTCGCCAGCGCGACTCTTGTGGCCGCCGCAGCAGTTTTGCCGGCGCCTCGGTGCAGCAGTTCTTCATGCAGAGCCAACGGGACCGCTTCCCCTACTGACCGGAGTTTGGAGCTCCGGGAAGTCAGAGCCACTTGTTGCGGACTCAAGAGGGAAGCCAGACCAGAGATTCCCGGGCAGAAGAGCACCATCAGTCTTATCGCTGCTATTTAGGCCGCCACAGTGGGTTGCTCAGATCCCAGCACTGGGAATCAATAAGTCAGACTTCGACTCAGAAACCTAATTAGAAAGGCGGTTCATCTACAATGAAGGGAAAAAAACAGCCTAAGAAGGCCGAGTATACTCAAAATCAGAACCCATCAGCAACGGAACAAGCCCTGATGGAAAAGGACTCATCAGCAACCGAACAAGCCCTGATGGAAAAGGACTGTGTTCCATTATCTGAAGTAGGCTTTAAAAGGTGGATGATAAGAAACTTCTGGGAGCTAAAGGAACTTGTTCTAACCCAATGTAAAGAAACTAAGAACTTGGAAAAAAGGTTCGATGAAGTGTTGAAAAGAATAGACAATATAGAGAGGAATACAAATGAACTTATGGAGTTGAAAAATACAACACGAGAACTTAGTGAAATATGTACAAGCTTAAACAGCCGAATGGATCAAGCAGAAGAAAGGGTATCAGAGGTCGAAGACCAACTTAATGAAACAAAACGACAAGACAAGAATAGAGAAAAAAGGATAAAAAGGAATGAGCAAAGTCTCCAAGCAATATGAGACTATGTGAAAAGACCTAATATACGCTTGATTGGTGTACCTGAATGTGACGGAGAGAATGAATTCAAGCTGGAAAATACTCTCCAGGACATTATCCAGGAAAATTTTCCTAATTTAGCAAAGCAGGACACTATTCAACCCCAGGCAATACAGAGAACACCACGAAGATATTCCTCAAGAAGACCAACCCCAAGGCACATAATCGTTAGATTCACCAAGATCGAAACAAAGGAGAAAATATTAAGGGCAGCCAGAGAGAAAGATCAAGTTACCCATAAAGGTAAGCCTATTAGGCTTACAGCAGATCTCTCAACGGAAACCCTACAAGCTAGAAGAGAGTGGGGGCCAATATTCAATATACTTAAAGAACAAAACTTTCAGCCCAGAATTTCATATCCTGCCAATTTAAGCTTTACATTTGAAGGAAAAATAAAATCTTTTAGGAACAAGCAAATACTCAGAGATTTTATTACCACCAGGCCTGCTTTACAAGAACTTCTAAAAGAAGCATTATACACAGAAAGGAACAACCAGTATGACCCTTTCTAAAAATACACCAAAAAGTAAAGAGCATTAACATAAAGAAGAATTTTTATCAACGAAAGGACAAAATAGCCAGTTAATATCAAATGGCAGCAACCCTAAATTTAAATCGACCAAATCTCCCAATCAAAAGATACAGACAAAATCTAACGGTATATCCAAAGATATACATAGACTCAAAATAAAGGGTTGGAAAAAAAAAAACGTACCAACCAAATGGAGAGCAAAAATAAATAAATAAAAAGCAGGAGTTGCAATTTTCACATTTGACAAAAAAATTTCAAAGCTACAAGGATACAAGGGTAAAAGGATTAATGTAATAATAAGAGATCTTAACACCCAGATACATAAGACCCATAATGAGATTTAGATTCAACGAGACAACAAATTGATAACGATATCCAGGACTTGAACTCAGAGCCAGAACAAATAAACACAATAGAGGTCTCCATTTTAAACACACACACACACACACACAAAGGAATAGAAGAAAGTATCCTCAACTTGATAAAGAGGATCTACAAAATTCCCACAGCAACATCACATCCCGTGGTGAAAGACAGAAAGCTTTTCCCCTAAAATCAGGAACAAGACACAGAGGTCTGCTTGCACCACTGTTACTCAACACAGAACTCTTCGTCTGAACCCCGCCCCTCTTGAGACTCCACATGGTGAAGATGGGCTGGGCTGTCCTCTTTTCTGGGGCTCGAGTCCTCAGACTCACCAGCTCCAACCCCACTCATTCATATCCTTTCAAGAATCCATGGGGGAGTGCACATGGTCTTACCTGATTTGATGAGGTTGAATCGTGCTGATTTATATTAGGAAAAAGCAAATCATTTGCCACATATAAGTAGCACCGACTGTGGCATGCTAGCACCATATCCTTGTGTTCAGCATGGAGGTCAAGAATTGATGATGTAATTCAACCAGGAAACTGAGGCCCAGAGAGGGTGACTGACTACCTCAAGATCACACAGCCAGGTAGGGGCTGAGTTCGAAGATCTCATCTCCAAAGCCAGTATCCCTCTAATGGTACAATAACGTGGTTGAAACCTCTTCCAGCATGGTATTTGATCACACTGACAGTGGTCTCTGTCGCTGGAGGTGGGCTGCAGCCAGGGGTGATGGGGCTGGCCGAGCTGGGCTGTGACTCCTCTGGGGCATTACCAGGTCTCTGCCTCCTCTGAGGACACAGCCACACCAGGCAAGTTCAGCAGGTCAGGAAGCCCTTAGCCTGGCAGCCAAAGGGGTTTGCTTTGACCCAATGCCTCCTGTTCCCAGGAAGCAAGAAGCATGTCCGCTCTGATTATGGCTGACAGCCTGCCTCGGGCTGGTCTTTGATAGAAATACTGTCATTATGTAAGAAGTTACATAAATCATCTTGTGATGTCTGCGTCGCATGTCCACAGAGGCACTGCTGGGCTGCTCTGTCCTCTGTGTGGCCTTTGTATGTTTCCCAAGCTGGTGTGGTCGGCTGGGCCTACCTCTCCCGGGCAAGGGTGGCTGGGGAGAGTCTGCAGCTCCAGGCTAGCATGGGCCCTGGGTGGGAGATGGGCCCTCGCATTGGTTCACAGCTGTCGGTGGGAGCAGCATCTTAGGATCACCCCCACCCCAGCGTTGTCGTTTACTGCCAGTGGGAACTTCGGCAAGTTTCCAAGCCCATTCATGCCTCAATTTCCTCATCCATTAAAGAGAGTAATCATGGCATCTGGGAAGAACAAAGGACAATATATGTCACGTGCTTCCATCAGCTAGAACTTTACACTCGTATGATCAGGTGTGAGAATGAACATAGTGGGGTCGGCAGACCGGGGCTCCCTCCCGGGTGCTCTTCCTGACTGGCTCTGCCACCTTGGGTGAATCACTGTCCCTCTCTGGGCCTTTTGTCGTCATCTCTAAAATAAGAAGTCAGCGCATCTTTTGGAACCGAATTTCCTGTAGAGGTGTGAAAATGTAAAATCTTCTTTAACAGGTATTTTTGGCAATTTAAAACATTACCAAACATGCACCAACAAACAAATACATCCAAAGGCATTTGAACTCAAGGTGACACGCTAGGCTGCCGACCGGTGAACTTGGCCAGTCAGGTTAACTCCTCCGGGGCAGGTGATAGTTTCTCCAAGGACTCCTTTCATCTGATGACTCTCCTAGGATCATACAAGATGTTTTTTTGAGGCTGGGCTCACAGCTGTAATCCCAGCACTTTGGGAAGCTGAGGCAGGTGGATACCCTGTGGTCAGGAGTTTGAGACAAGCCTGGCCAATATGATGAAACCCCATCTCTACTAAAAATACAAAAATTAGCTGGGCGTGGTGGCACGTGTCTGTAATCTCAGCTACCTGGGAGTCTGAGGCAGAAGAATTACTTGAACCTGGGAAGCAGAGGTTGCAGTGAGCCAGAGATAAAGAGAGAAACCTGCAGACGAGCTCCCTTCACTCCTGGAGCTCACCTGGGTGGGCTCAGCTCACCTGGGTGGGGCAAACAATAAACAGACAAAAAAAAAAAAAAAAAAAAAAAAAGGACAGGCAGCAGCTGTTTACAGTCCACAGGAAAAATCCTGTTCAGTGGAATGGGCAAAGTATTCAATTCATAAGCATTTAGTAAGAAGCCACTCTGTGCCAGGCTGTAGTAGGGATCAGATTACAAAGGGCCTTCTGTGTTTGGGAGGTTTAACTTCATCTTTGGCTCCAGGCACTCGGGGATGGGAGAGGGTGTTATTGACAATGCTTGAAGTTGGCGGAAGGCGTCCTGGAGGCGGGGATGTTTGAGCTGGGCCTTGAAGAATTGCCAAGAGGACAGGATTGGCTGAGTTGGGCCCAAGAACCATGTTCGAGGCTTCTGTGGGGGTGTCACCAACTGTAAATGGGAAATAATCCCCTCCCCGCCCAGACGCAGGCAGATAATGAGCGAACACTGCGAGAGTCTCGTGACTCGCACGATGACTGCTGTCTTTCCACCTGCCTATATGGCCAATCAGAAAAACACAGAGGAGCTTTCCCTTGTGTGGGTCAGAGGTATCCATAGGCCTGGCCTCAAGCCACAGCTGCCTCCTCTCCCCAATCCTGACTTCCCAAAGCTGCAGCTCCCCGTATTCCTGAGCTGGGAAGTTCCAACGTTGGGCCAGAAGAGTGGAATGCAGGACTCGTGGAGAAAATCTGGTCTCGGCTGGCAGCGCTTAGGCAGGGTCTGGTGCTCCAGGAGGCCATGTGTCGAGGCAGATCCGGCTCAGCCTTTGCACACAGATGGGCCTGACTTCAAGTTCAAACTCTGCTGGTTAATGCTGCGTGGTCTTGGGAAAGCAACTGAACCTCACTTACTTCATTTGTCAGGGCAAACGCACTCATGGAGTGGCCCCGTGAGGTCTTCATGTGGTTGTCGAATGTGGCTCTTGTGGCTCTTGGCACGTGCTGGGTGTCCACAAAGAATCTATTTTCTTCCACTTTTCTCTCCCCTTCCTTTCTCTCTTCCCTCTTTTCTTCCTTTCTTCCTTCTCTCTTTCCTCAAAAAGTGTTTGGTGGAAGAACAGTCCGCATTAAGAGCTGTGGAAAGAGTTTTGTAAGACATCAGCTCACCTCCCATGGAGTCCACGGGCCTGGTGGGGAGGCTCCATACTGGCTGAGAAAGGAGAGACAGCTTCACAAGTGGGCAGTGCAGAACGGGCGGGCAGGGCTGCAGGTGCTGTGGGATCTCAAGGAAGCTGGCAGCCGAGCTGAGTGGCTCTAAAAAATCTTGATGCCCTTGGAAGAGAGGAGATCTTCCAGAGACAGTGATGATGCCGCCACAGAGTGCAGAAGCCTGGGAGGAAAGGGCGGAGCACAGAGAAGCAGGCAGTTACCTGGTCAGGTGCTGGCTGCGGAGAGGCCGGAACTCCTGGCTGTGCACACCGGCCTCATGCCGTAGGCAGCGGGGGACTGGCCCTGATGGCCACAGGCTCTCAGGGCACTCTCTCCAGCCATGTGTGCCAGGTGTTTGGGAGCAGAAAGGATGTTTCCTGCCTGTCCCAGTCAGGGTGGGCCGGGACGTGCTACAGTAACATAGAGCCCTCACATCTCTGGCTCTCACAATGAGGAAGGCTTGGCTCTCACCCATGCAAAGGCTGCTGCAGGTAGGAGCAACTCCCCAGGGCACACAGTGGCCGACAATCTAGGATCTCCAGTCCAGTAGCACCTCCATCTCGGTCCACACTTCCCTGACCCAGCGGCAGGGTAGGGGCAAGAAGAATACAGTGCTGGCTTTCAGGCCCTAAATTGAGTTATAGCTTGTCAGCACTGGGCTATCTCCTCCAAACTCTTCATTTCGCCTGTAGGGACCCTCAGGCTGGGGGAAGGGGAATGGCTTGGAGTCAGGCCACAGCAGCTGTCTATTGACCAGTGGGAAGAAGTGGGGCCATCACTCCTGGTTGGAAGCCCTGGCCCTGCCCTGCCAGTGCCCCCAGTCTGGGCAGGGAGACTCCGGAGAGGAGTCCTTGGCATCTGAGGTTGTAGTATGGAGGTGCTGGTTGACACGTAGACCACCAGCCATCTGGCTGATGAGGGAGACAGGAGGAGAAGGCGGTAGAAGGGGAAGAGGAAAGGAGAGGAGGAGGGGATAAGAGGAGGCTGAGTCTGGGCAAGAAGATGACAGGGCGTGAGAGGGACCTGTGAGCTGGCTGGCACAGAGGTGCGACCATTAGCATTTCCCAGGCAGCCACCCTCGCCTTCAGCCTCACCTTCCCTCTGGCCAGTTAGTGGGCAGGGCCAGTGCCGACGCTGGGCTCCCTTGCTCGCTCAGAGCGGCCCTGCTTGCAGCCCTGCCGGCGTTGGCACGGTGACAGTAGCCAAGTGTGCAAACTTGTGCCATTGTCCACAGGCCAGGGGGAGCCATGGAAACTGGCTAATATGACACAGGAAAATGTTTGCTGATGGCAATTCTATGGGCTTTGTCCACCTCTTTCTCCATCATGACGACTCGATTTAAGTCCCTAACTGTTTGACTACAAATGCAAGGGGACCGTGCAACGCCAACCTTTTGTCCGGCTGCGCTGAATGGGCAATTCAGGCTTTGTGCAGCTCAATTGAGGAAGCAAACATAAAGACAAGATTCCTGAGAGCTCCAGCTCCCTTCCCATGGATATCCCAGCACCTCGTTAGAGAGTCCTTCCTCCGCCACCTTTTCCGACAGGCATCAGCGCCCCTCCCGACCTCGAAGGTCCTCCATGCCGATCCCTGGGGGATCCCGGCAGAGAGAGTAGTGGGGGTGGCAGAAGGAGAGAGAGAGAGAGAGAGAGAGAGAGAGAGAGAGAGAGAGAGAGAGAGAGAGAGAGAGAGAGAGAGAGAGAGGCAGAGACAGAGAGAGAGAGAAGAGTGAGAGCGAGAGAGCCACTCAACACTCAAGGACAGCGGGAAAAGCAGCCCGCCCCGGCTTACCCCGTCCGATTGTCTGTCTGCACTGGAGCATGGCAGCTGTAGGCCTGGAGTCTTTGGGGGAGGTTTGCAAGCCCGTCTCCACCAGGCCCAACCCCTTCACCATCCTGGACATTTTAAACACACACACACCCCACCCCCTTAAGAAACTAGGGAACCGAGGTCAAGGGGAGGCGGGGCGTGGAGTCCGAGGAGAGTGGGGCTGAAGGGTAGAAATTTACCGGGAAATGATTGCATTTGGGAGCTGTCTTTTTTGTGATGGTCCCCATGGTGACAATTTGTGACGGCAAAGAATGTGGGAACGGGGCGCCGCCGCCTGATTGGGATGCTTTGTATCTGGAGAGGCGCTCCTGATTGGCCTGAGGGGCCCCCCAGCTCCGGGGAGTTGTCCTCCATTCAGCCCACTCAAGGGCTGCACAACTGCTCCAGCCGGACGGAGCTCGGCCGGCTGTGCCGGGGCCTGTCCCAGGTCTGCAGCGGGGAACCTGCCGGGCCACGTTGGTCTGGCCCCGGCCGGCACCTTTGGTCAGTGTGGAGGCCCGGCGGCTCAGGCCCGACTGGGTGGCGGGAGTGGGGCAGGCTGGGGCCGGGGGGAGGGGCGAGGTGCGTGGGTGGCAGCGGAGGAGGCATGAAATTGCTGCAGATGCTTCTTCGGGGGAGTCCCTACTGCCCACAGCCTGAGATCAGCCCGCAAGGCAGGTCTCGATTAAGTGCCAGACAGGGGTCCTGCCTGGTCCTGCGTGAGAGCTGGGGGTGGAGCGTGGGGACTGAGGAGGGGGGCAGGAGTGGTGGGAGGGGGAGGCTACCACCAGGGAGGAAGGGGGCTTGGCCTTGCTTTAAAGTGGAGCAGTCGCCTCAGCTGAGAGAATAAACACCTCACTGGCAAGTTGCACACCTTGGCAGCATGGTGTGTGGGAGACAGGGCAGGCTGGGAGTGCAGGGACTTGTGTGCCAGCCCCAGTAATGCCACCTATAGCTGGGTCACCCTGGGCGAGTTGCTTGACCTTTCTGAGCCTTGGCTGCAAGAGGAGGGCACCAGACCCAAGCAGGTTGGATGGGGCTGTGCTAGCGCCCGCGGCATCCCAGGTGTGCAGACAGCACTCAGCCACTTGCACTGGCATCCCTCTACCAGGGATGCTGTTTAGGGCTGAGGGGTGCTGGGGTGGGGACACCATTTGCAGACAGGTGCTGTGGTCTTTTGGGAGGGCTGGGTGTGGTTGCTTGGAGAGACTCCAATGGCCTGTTATGTCCCCCAGGTCAGTTCGGTGTCCTTCCCTGGAGCTGCCAGCCACCAGCAGAGCCCACCCTCTTCATGGAAAGCTTCGTGCAGTGGCCCCCTGGTGATGGCATCTGACAGTGATGTGAAGATGCTGCTGAACTTCGTGAACCTGGCGTCCAGTGACATCAAGGCCGCCCTGGACAAGTCTGCGCCCTGCCGACGCTCCGTGGACCATCGCAAGTACCTGCAGAAGCAGCTCAAACGCTTCTCCCAGAAGTATTCCCGGCTCCCGCGGGGCCTTCCGGGCAGGGCCGCAGAGCCCTACCTGAAAAGGGGGCCTGAGGACCGGCCCGGGAGGCTGCTTCTCGATTTGGGCCCTGATTCCAGCCCCAGCGGGGGTGGGGGCTGCAAGGAGAAGGTGCTGAGGAACCCCTGCAGGGAGGAATGTCTTGCTAAGGAGCAGCTCCCCCAGGGGCAGCATCCAGAAGCTGCCCAGCCTGGCCAGGTGCCCATGAGGAAAAGACAGCTGCCTGCCTCCTTCTGGGAAGAGCCGAGGCCCACCCACAGCTACCACGTGGGGCTGCAGGGAGGACTGGGCCCCAGGGAGGGTCCTCCCTATGAGGGTAAGAAAAATTGCAAGGGCTTGGAGCCCCTGGGGCCTGAGACTGCCTCAGTGCCCATGTCTCCAAGCGCCCTGGTTGAAAAGGAGTCACTCAAGATGCCAGGGGTCTCCCTGGTGGGCCGTGTCAATGCCTGGAGCTGCTGCCCCTTCCAGTACCATGGACAGCCCATCTACCCGGGCCCTCTGGGGGCCCTGCCTCAGAGTCCTGTCCCCAGCCTGGGCCTGTGGAGGAAGAGCCCAGCCTTTCCCGGGGAGCTGGCGCACCTCTGCAAGGATGCGGACGGCCTGGGGCAGAAGGTGTGCAGGCCTATGGTGCTGAAACCCATCCCCACCAAGCCGGCCGTGCCCCCACCCATCTTTAACGTCTTTGGCTACCTCTAGGTGAGCTGAGAGGGCCTCAGCCTCCACCTCTGGCCTGCAGGAGTGTGGAGGTCCCCAAGGCACTCTCCTCTGAGAAGGTGGCTGGGCCACGGTGTGACCTCTTCCTTTTGTGTGTGTGTGTGGGAGGATTGGGGCGGGGCTCCTCAGGCAGTCACCTTTCGGCCTTGCAGCCTTGGAAGCTGTGGGGCTGGGCCTGGTTGGCCCCTCCCCAAGCAGGCCAGGGCCTAGCAGCTTGCCCCGCTGTCCCTGTGCTGACCATGGGTGGGGGGATGGTGCCCTTCGTTTCTGCCACCCCAGAAGCCAGAGTTACACATCTGTTCACCTGCCACCCACTGTGTGAGCCAATCTCAGTTGTTGTTGTTCTTGTTCTTTGTAAATATTGAGAAAGTTGAAAGAATAAAGACATTTCTTTTGGAGTTTCCACATCGTGGGTGTCAGGAAGTTGAATGACCCCCAGGCTTAGGGATCTGGCAGCAGTGGCTGGTTCCAGGGAGGCCAGGCTAAAGCCTCTGAAATATCTGGGAGTGGGTGCTGGGGCCAAGAGCTTGGTTCAAAGGAAGGAGGGTGAGGAGGGGAGGAGAGGACCCACCAGGGAAGGACACCCCCGGGGTGCAACATGCTCTGGAGAACAGGTGCCGGAACCAGGGGAGGTGGGGCTGCAGTCCTAGCTCTGCCGTGTGCTGTGGGGCCCCACCCTTCCTCTGGGGGGTCTCCTCACCCCCTCTGCAGGATGACAAGATGAGAATGGGTCTCTCTGCAGTGCCTTCTGCTCTGTGTACTGCCTCAGGGCAGCCTCTGTGCCGAGATGGTTGTGCCCAACTCTGGTGAGAGGGAAAATCAGGCCAAATAGGAGTTTGGTCCCTTGTGGGCAAAACAGGTAGTTTGACCAAATTGATCCTCTTGTACGCACAGCCTTGGAGTCTGTGTCCACAGGCAAAATAAGTCGATTAAAAAATAATAGCGAACTCCTCTGAACCTCGTTCCCTCCAGCACATCCAAAGGGATCCTCTCTAGCGAATCCAGATTCCAGATTACCTGAGGATGGGCCTCTCCCTGGGCCTTACACACATCAGGTGCCCCATCGATGCAATGATGAGGCCTCTGCCTCTGACAGTGCAGAGGGCAGCACCAGAGGCAGGAAGTGGCCCTGGATTTTGCCCTGTTAGTGTCCTACTAGCAAAGTCACCTGAGGGGCCTCCACCTGCACACAGGCCCAGGTTTGCTCTGCTGCTGTGGATGGGGCTCTGTGGCTGATAGAGGGTTGGCATGCCGGTGTGCCCAGCTGTTTATTTTATTAGAACAGTTTCACAACTAGAAGGGTACAGGGGGCCAGTCCTGGCTGGGACTATGGTGCTCTCATCAGCGGCATGATGTTGGACACATTCATCCTTCCTCTGTGCCTCGGTCTCCTCACCCGTACAATGGAGGACTGGGCTAGGAATAGTAAACAGGTGTACCTCCCTCCTCCGCACCCCAGGCAAGTACCGGCTGCTTGCAGGCTCCCTCCTTTGGAGCCTGGACATGGCCTCTGATTCTTCCTCACTAATACAGGCTGCAACATTGGAGGTTGCCAAGGGCCCCTCCTACTTGTCTTGTTATACTCCAGGATTCCCTGGAGTGGGGAGTCCCAGGAGGGGCAGCCCCTTCACCGGGAAACCAGCCAGTGGTTGCTGTTTAATGGCCTCTGAAGACTTCAAGGTCACAGAAACAGGCACAACCCTGGGCAGAGCTGCTCAGAGTAATTATCTGGCCTATGGGATGGGGATAATCCTCAACCTGGACCCTCAGCCTCAGACTGCTCTGGTCTTAAAGAGCAGAAAGGGGCTGGGGGTGGGGGACCCTCCTCTGCCCTCTGTGCAGCATCACACAGGCCCTCTGGATCCATGTTGAAGAGCCTCAGCTCCCTACAAACTGCCATCTGCCAGCTGTGCAATCTTGGGCAAGTTCCTTAACCTCTCTGTGCTGAAACTTCCTCACCTGGAGAATGTGATTGATAATAGACCTGCTGCCTAGATTGTCATGAGGCCAATGTGAGTGCCCTGGCCCACTGTCACCCAGATGCTCAAAGCATCACCAACCACAAGTCACCTCTCGTAGTTGTCTGGTGGTGTCTGTAGGTCCTGCCATGCCGACATTTTAATACCGTTTATGGGCTGTGCTGCCCGGAGGATGATGTGCCTGGACTATCCAACCAACCTCACCCGCTGGCGGAGGAGCCGAGCTCCGGGACACGTTCTCTCAGGGTGCTGCCTGTGTCCAGTCCTGCCTGGGCTCTCTGATAAGGCTGGCCTGTCCCTGCTCATAGCCCCAGGGGTACCTGCAGATCCATTCATTCAAAAGTTGGGAAGCAGAGACCTGTACTAAGACATGACCTGATGGAAGCCCTGGCAACGTGATGCCCCCACATGGAAGCGAGCTGGGGGGAAAACACACATCTAGGAAAGCTTTGGTATTGTAAGTAAGTTTTAAATCCTGCTGCAGTAACAACAGCACATACTCTCCTAACCGCAGAGTGAATGGCACTGGTTCAAAGTTAAACCCAGAGCCAGTCCGGTGCCCCCCACCCCTTCACAATCCCCAACACCCACCATTGGGTCAAGCAGGCTCAGGCTCATGAAGCAGAATCTCTGCCGGACTCTCAGGGCTCTGAGTGTTCTCCAATGCTGCCAGACATCCCTGAGGCTGTAAACCTCCTGGGGCTGGGTATTGCGGGAGGGGCCCGCTTCTGCAGAGGGAGGTGGCTGTTAGTGCTCCAGACAGGAGTGATGGCCCAAATACATCATCAATGGCATAATGTGAGCCGTGGCCAACTGGAACCAACCCACTGGAGCAGGCCCAGTCCAGGAACGAACCCCTCAGCTGCTGGGTTGTGGGGAGGTGGGGGCAGAGACATAAGGAGGCCAAGGCTGGGCATGGTACTTCCGGGGGGGGAGCTCTGAGCAGCGCTTTGACTAACCTGCATGGACACATGTACATTAGTTTTCTAAGAACACAAATGTAGTACTGGCGCATCTCAGACCAGAAGGTCCCACACCCTGCGAATGTCAAGTACAGAGAACATGGTGGCCAAGCCCCTCCCCACACCTCCCACTCAGCCCTTCAGCCTCACCTCCTCCAGGGTGGCACCTCCCACAGACTGGCACACTGCCCTGCCCAGTACCCGGGTCTCTGGGTTGGGAGATTTGTGGCTGCTGCCTTAGGACTCTCTAGGATGTAATGTGGCCCATGAGATGCTGTAGGTTAAGAGTCTGCCCACTACCATCCTGGCCCACACACACCCCAAACAACTCACACACTGGCCCTGTGTGCGTCATCCCATCACCACCTGCCACCCCTCAGGTCACTCTGATCAGTAGTCACCCAAGATGCAAATGCCCTCCCTTTGGCTTCTGGGTCAGCAAGGGTGTTCTTCCATCAGTCTCCCCCGTGAGCTGACACCTACTTGGCAACCTACCCCTGGCTCTCAGGATTGAGTACCCCAGTGGGGGAGGATGCAGGTTTCCTCTGGGGCTTCTTTAGGGTCCCTGCACGTTCTGCCCAGTGTACAGCAAGGCCACATGGGACCGTGGCCAAGCACTGTTAAGCTGGAACCCCATGGACTTGCTGTGTGTGCCCAGGCAAGTCCCTTCCCCTCTGGGCCAGTTTCTCATTTGTACTATGAAGGAGCAGGCATGACCTGGTTGACCCTTGACCTGTGGCCAGCAAGTGCTGCTTGGAAGACTTTTTCTCTGGGAGTTACTGATTCCATAGAAGCCCAGTGTGTCTTTAGCCAGGCATGGTGGCATGTCCCTACAGTCCCAGCTACTTGGGAGGCTGAGGTGGGAGGATCACCTGTGCCAGGAGGCGGAGGTTACAGTGAGCTGAGATCATGCTACTTACTGCACATCAGCCTGGGCAAGAAAGTGAGACTCTGTCTCAAAAAACAAAAAGAGAAGAAAAGAAAAGAAACCCAGTGTGTCAGAGCCAGCAAGGCCACCAGGGGCCACCATGTCTCACCATACAGATGAGGAAACTCAGGCCCCACTGATGCAAGCCAGTGGCAGAGCTGAGCCTGGAGCCAGTGCTCCCCTCCACCAATCTACTGCTTACAAAGGCCAGGAACTACCTTTGACCTTGCTTCAGACTCTACTAGATCCTGCGGCTGGCCTGGTATGGGCTCTCGGCCACGTGGCCTGCTCTGGTGTTGCTGCAGAGCAGCCCGGACTCAGTGGCTTCACTAACATTTGTAAAGGGAGCACTGATGAGTTACTGCAGCTTCCATGGAAACAGCGCATGCTACATCTCAGCACTTGGAACCTGCAGAGACCCGCAGAAAGTGCCACAGGGTGGCGAGCCTTGACTCTGCCCTGCACGACCTGAAAACAGGATGACAGCTCCTGCTGTGCTCACCCCACAGGGCCATGACGACAGAGGGAGGCACGCAGGGGCCAGGGCTCCATATGTGCTCTCAGGCTTGGTGCCTTTGCAAAGGCTGACCATGGCCATCGCTCTAGCACCATTGCTCACAGTGCCCAGTATTTAATTTTTTCCTCTAGTTTCTCAACAACCAGAAAAACAGGGTTGAGCAGGGTGTGAAAACAGAGTGCCAGGAAACATGTGTGGCAACTGCAGGTGTCGAGAGGCATGTGGGCCCCGAGACTGTGACAGAGCTCCTATTTCCATGGTGATTGAACCAGGAGAGGAAAACCCATTGGGCCATCATAGGGTCTTGGCTGGGGAGGGAAGGATATATATAGCCCCTTGGGTCTTTCAGGAACCCAAACAAAGGTGATGCATTCAGGGGTCCTTGTGCCCCATCCCCACCTCTGCCCCATTCCCACTACTGCCACGAGCAAGGCTGAGGACCTCAGGCCCTGGGGGTCTGGTGAGAGGGACTTCGTTGGACAGGCGTCACATGTGTAGCATTTATTGTATTAATAATTAACGAAGCCCTCTGAGACCCAGGGTCCTCCTTCCCCAGCTCTGGGCCACGTCTTCATCTTAGTCTTTGGGGAGAAAGCTCTGAAGTCAAGTGGAGAATTTTCCAGAGCAAGTGGAGGGGCACAGGGAAGGCTCTGAGCACACCTTCCCCAGACCACCTCGAGCTCTGCCCTGGCCCAGGAATGGAGGCTTCTGCCATTCTGGAAGGCAGAGAAGTTCTGGGATCTGCTCATCAGTTTGTAAACATATGATTCTTCTCCTCCATGACACATTCAGTTCTCTGCTCTGGCCAAAGCTCTGGCCCTGAGACCCAGTGAGATCCTGTTAGCTATCCAGGCTGAGAGGAAGGCAGCCTGCAGCCTCATCTGTCACCAGGTCCCCTTGGAGTTGGGGACACCGACGTCCTGAGACTTAGTAAGAAGAGTCTGAGGGGCTACTCCTCTCTCCCTGTGGCCCCAGTTACTGGGTGTTCTCATATTTCAGGTATCTAATCAGCCTGCCTG